CCGGGGGCTGGCGAGGAGCGCAAACCTGAGGAGGAAGAAGCGCGGCGAGCGCGCAGGCCCAGAAGCGCCCGAACCACGGTGCCGGCGACGCCCCAGAGCGGAAGAGGGAAGTGAGTCGCGCCGGGCTGCGGGTTCCCACCGGGTTGGCTTGTGAGGTAGAGCCAGCGCCTAGAGGAGGCCTTCGCTGCCGGTCGGGGTCCGGGATGTCGAAGAACACGGTGTCGTCGGCCCGCTTCCGGAAGGTGGACGTGGATGAGTACGATGAGAACAAGTTCGTGGACGAGGAAGACGGGGGCGACGGCCAGGCCGGGCCAGACGAGGGCGAGGTGGACTCCTGCCTGAGGCAATATCCTTGCCCGGTCCGGTGCGCCGACGCCGAGTCTGCGGGGTCGCGTCCCCTCTTTTGGGAGGGCAGGGTCTTCCCCAGGGGTCTCGCCTGGGACCCCGGTCCGCTTGTCCACGCCCGGGATCCTCAGGTTGCGCGAGAGTGCAGCCTGGGGAACGGGCCCTGCCGACCGCGCCCTCGCGGCGCAGGACGAGATCTGAGCTGGCCGGAGCACTGGTGCGGGCGCCTAAGTTTTCTCTCAGAACTCCGCATTTCGGGGTCGCATCAGCTCTAGAAATTTATGATTGGGGCAGAACGGGTCGCTTTCTTTAATGATTTTTATTTTTCTCTTGACTTTTGGTTGTTGTAGCGCTAGGATAGCTTATTCCTTACTAGGGGAGAAGGACCAGTTTGCCCGTTTAGACCTCTACTTTTAGTCCATGGGCTCTTTGGGGGTTTTGGTGAGAGAAAGGGATGTGGGCAAATACAGGTTGCACATAATTTGTTAACCAGACGAAGGAAGTGAATACAAAACAGCAGAACTCCCGATAAGGACGCTCGGACCCTTTTACCTGGTAGGAAAAGGACAATAGAAAAAGACAAGGAGTGTGTGTGTGTGTGTGTGTGGAGAATCCCTGGAAATATTTAAGATAAATTCCAGTGAATAAAATAGGCGATGAGTCATTGGTATGAAGCAGAATCATTTTTGTGATCCTGAAATTGTTTCCATTTTAGTTAAAATATGGCTGTCAGTTCCTGGTTTCTGGGTTTGCATGTTTGAATATTCATTATTTTAATTAGCATTTTCATCAGATCTTTTTTAGAACAATGTAAATGTTGCAAAAATCACAAATGGTTTTAGAAAATCTCAATTAATAGCTCTTTATACAATTCTAATTATCCTTGGGTATATTCATGAAGAAAGCTCATCAGTGTTCTATTAAATTATAATGGAGAAGTATATGAGCAGCTATATCCTGCTGCGCAGTGTCCTGCAGGCTCCCACCCTCGAAACTATATCTTGTTATAAGAAAACATAAATACAACATTAAATATTTATAAATATACACTATATGTTTTCCTTTGCGGCAACTTTCACCTTCAGTTGTTACTGTTTTACATTTAAGTACTTGTTAGTTAGGTCTAAAAAAACAAGACAATCTACAAAAGGCGTACTTCTTTAGAAAGCTAGGTAGTCTTGAAAACAGCTTATCAGCAAACGTATTTTCTTCAGAAGATAAGCAAACAGTAATGTTTCTAAAAGCATTCTTTGTGATAAATGATACTTTATGAAACTTACATCATTCTTGGTGACTCCTAGATGGTACTGCTGTGTCCCTTGAGTGGATCTATTTTTTTAATCGATTCATTTTAAAATGAAAAGGTATTGTTTCTTACCCTTGTTATGACCAGGAGAGACATACCCAGTGTGGGTTAGCACAGATGGAGGAACAAGTGAACTCTGGTTTACCTTTTAGGGGAATGACACATTCTGACAGTCTGATTGGCCTTCCGTTTCTCATGCTTGCTCACTGGTGCTTTAAAAGAGAGACTAAATTTAATAGGTATGGTCTAACCAGTTTGAATAACCTTTATGAAATAGGAAAGAATATCTAAGAAAAAATAACCTGCCACCTAAGGGTCATATGAATTATTACACCTTCTGCAATACCTCTGACAATTATTAAAGGATTGCTGATGTAGGGCGGGGGATTTAGCTCAGAGGTTCCACCGCCTGCCTCACAAGGTCCGGAGTTGCATCCCGGTAACCCCCCCCAAAAAAAGAAAGAAAGAGTGCTAATGTTTATCATTCAGATTGCTAGAGTAACCTCCCACAGTTTCCTACTAGCATTTCAGTATGAAGTGTTGGTCTTTACTTTTCAAGCTAGAATCATATAAGAAGACATGTCTTTGGTTGTTATAGGCTGTTTTATTTTATGTGGAGGGGGCCTAATTTGATATATATTTTAGGGTTTTTTTAAATACCTGTCTAGGTTATGTTTGCATATATTTGACTTGAAAATTAAAGATTATCAAGGTATTCGTTTCATAGCTAGAACCAAGAGTGAAATAGTCTTTGCTTTATTTTAAAAATGGCCTTATAGTCTCTTTTAATTTCAGTACAGTATTTTACTTTTGATTGTTATATTGGAAGCTAACACATTGAATTCCCAATATTGAGTGACCATCTTATGCATAATGTTAAAAACTAGTGATTCCAGGTGGTTATAATGCTTTGCCAGGAGCTGCCTTTTGCTGTTACTTCCTTAACCTCTGTCACAGGAAACATGACAGCTGCTCTCCAAGCAGCTCTGAAAAACCCCCCTATCAACACCAAGAGTCAGGCAGTGAAGGTGAGTCACAGATCTCTGCTCATATCTTACTGTTCTTACTGAAATCTCACAAAATCAAATATTTTTAACTGTTTACTGTCTTTGGCTTAGAAAGCATGCAGTGTGCTTTGATTGCTAAAAATTTCATATGCAAAAACAGCACTGTAACAGTTACGATACTGCTTCATCATAGACAAAAATTCAAATGATCATTGCTTTGTGTTTTCAAAGGAGGCCACTCAGGCTGAATTTAAGCAAAGGCATAAAGAATAAATAAAACTTATACCAAAATAGGTTCTGTTTGCTTCTTAAAGATTTTTTAAACTATACAGATATTAAATATTTAATATATAAAGCTCAGGAGAGAATAAACAAGATCATAATACCACTATTCAGAGGAAAAGTTACTATTTGGTGTTGATCTATCCTTATAGAATTTCTGTGAGTTTTTCAAGTGTATCACAACATATGTGAACTTTCCTTAGCAATAAGATTATTTCTATAGCATTTCTGACATCTGTTCACCAGTATGCCAAAGATTACACATAGCTGATCCCCTTTAGTCATATAATTTAAATAGATTTTCCTGGTGTATACAGTACTGAAATGAATAATTTTAGATAAAATTTTAGTTACATTCTTTGCTTAAGGACCAAATTCCATTCCTGCAACTAGGTGGTTACATGAATAGGTCACTAAATTAGAAATTGTATAGTTTGTACATTACAATATTCAAAACAAAGAAATGGGGAAATGGTGAAAGGAAACTCCAACCTGGTGGCTTTGCTTTTATTTGCAATACTCTTACATGCAGTGTTATAATGTATAACAGAACATAAAACTACAGTACTGTAGGGCCGAGGATTTGGCTCAGTGGTTCTGCTACCTGCCTTGCAAGTGCAAGGGACTGAGTTTGATTCCCCGGTACCAAAAAAAAACTATACAGTGCAATCAGCAAAAATTACACTACTGTATAAATAAGGTGTACTGTACAAAAAGACATTGAGCCTCTATTCACAAGATCTACAGAACTATTAAAAAAAAAAAAAGCTCAGTGGTGCCGGAGCCTGCCTCACAAGTGTGAGATCCTGAGTTCAATCAAAAAAATAAAAATGTTAATCAGATGAATCTCTATATTGCCTTTTAGTAAATTCCTAGAAATGAAACACTGTATCAACGAATGTACCTTTTTAAAGATTTCATGCATAAAGTATTGCTAAATTGCTATTAAGGAAAGTTGTGCAACTAAGGTACCCTGCAGCCATCTTTCACTAATTCTCAAGGATCTGTTTACTGAGTCACATTGTTTAAAATGAAGCCTAAAGCATCAACATTGCTATCAGTGGCTATTCATACAGTTCAGAGCCTCAAGGATCTCCATAACTGAATAATGGTAAATAACTTAGGTAAACATATACTAATTAAGCAACAAAAAATTTTGTAAGGGGAAAAATTTTCTTTGGTTTTTAAGAGTTGTTAGGAACATCATGGAAATTTCAGTTTCACCACCTGCTCTTATGGGGGTGGTTTTTATCACAGCTTGTGGGTGGGAGGTTTTAATTCTGGATGCAAAGATACTTTTCTCAATTAGGTAATTGCACAGACTTTAAACTGAAGATAACAGTAAGTGGTAGAACAGTCTGTTAGAATACTAAAAGTAGGAATGCGGAAGATACTACTTTGTGTTGAATAGCAGGAAAAGCAAATTGTTGAAAGGGTCATTTAAGTATTCCCTTTGCTTGACTGAATGGGTAAGAAAATAACTGCTTTTGGAACAGACTTTTACCATAAAAGAGAGATTATTATAAGTGCATATATCATTCTGCTAGTAAATC